CTGTTTTTCATTTGAGAGGTCTATTGACTCTTTCTATTGCTATAGGCCACAAAAGATGTCAAGAACAGGTACTGATAAATATTTTGTTGGTGAAAGAATGTTGGATTGTCAATAATTTTTGGTTGTCCTAACTTTTTTTCGATGCCATTGTTTTCTTTAATTGAATATGAAAGATGAAGCTGTGGAACTCTAGTAGATAATGGTAAATTGGTGTATGAACGACTGACAAATGAAGCACGTGAGATGGTTGGGATATCTCTTTATAGGCTTTGTTTTATGATTTGAGTGCTGCTGTATTTTAGTTTTCATTTTGGCTGCTGTCATGTTATATTATAATGTTTAGCCCTGTTTTGCAGTCTTAGTTGATATGCTGGTTAGACTAGTAAACAACTTTTTTCTCTTTGTCAAAAGGTTTGCCTGAATCTGCAAGGATCTCTCAATATGGGAGGATATATATTATTCTCTTTTCTTTTTATCTTACACAGTAGTGCACTTAAAAGACTTTTATAGACTTGTCTCTCTTACACTAGCACATGTTCTCTTACACTAACAGTGTGTTTCTGGAATGCTATAATATTGTTGTTTTGTTGATCGATACAGGTTAGTGACATGAGGAGCACTCTGTGATTACCATGTTATTTCTTCAACGGTTCTTCTATTCTATGTGTACTCTTTTATTATTATTTAACTAGTTTTGTTGCCTCAGTTCTTTATTTGATCCATTTTGTCATGTTTTAGGTATGTTATTAAACTCTTAATCGTTTTTTTAACCTCATAAAGATCAATTTGTTTTGATTCCTCATAATATTTTCTTTCATCCAAAAGAATATTTATATGTTTTCAATTCAGGATCATAACTATTTGTATGTAGGTGTGCTTGAATCATGGGATAAGGGTTTTGCATTTCAAGGAAGCCATATTTACATACAAGTCACATGAAGACCTGAAAGCTGCATTCAAACACCTTATTCGGTTGGAAGTGGGCTTCGAGGACCATTGATATAGGATATATCTTAGGATTGTAATGAGTTTTTTGGAATTTGTTACATTGGTCTTTTACTAATAATAATATATATTATTTTTCGGGCAACAATTTCTCATTGGAAATCTTTTATATATTTCTTTTACAAAATATTTGTACATTCCGACGACTTTTTACTCTCGATAATTGCTATAAATGTCGTCAGAAAAACATTTTTTTCGACGCACTTCCATGTTGGAAATGCACAATTCCGACAAATTATATTGATCACAAATAGTAATTTAGGGTCGGAAATATTATTTTCGGCAAATAGTCATTGGTCGAAAATATAGTCGCAAAACAAAAGATCTTGATAAATAATTATTTCCGACAGTTGCATAAGTATTTGCGACCAGAGTTATGGTTGCAAATGAATTTGTATCATTGTTTTGAAAATGCATTTTCGACAGAAATTTAAGCAATATCGATGAAATATGGGCATCGAAAATACATTATTTCCGACGGAGTGGTTGGAAAAAAACTATTTGCAACCAGCGTTTTTTCGACGACTTCCGACGGCAATTTGCCGTCAAAAAAGGGTATTTTCGACTGCAAAACACCTTTTCCGACCATAAATCACCCTCGCTAAAGGCATTCTTTTTTGTAGTGTAATAGAAATATATAAAGTTTGAAAGAAAAATAATTAAAAGATAGGAAACATACCGACAACTGGCCGCGAACTTGCATCTTGATCTCGTCAGGTATGACCTTCCAAGACTTCCATTGCATCGGGCAATGGGTCCGAACGACGTGGCCAATGTCGTGGGCCAAGGAGCTATGCAAGTCCGCCGTCGGTGCAGCCCGATGGCGCTCGTCATATCCGATGCTGATACGACTGTTGGTCACCCGGGTGACCTTCGCCGTCTTCAGCTGCCGACACGGCCCTCGGGTGTTCCTCTTGGCTGCAAAGGGATATGACAATATTGTTACATATACAATCAAATTGAACCATAAAATTCCCAATTAAAAAAATGTTATAAAAAAAAATGAAAGGGGAAGGGTATTACCTGGAGGTGCCCCCGAGGCACCAGTACAGTCAGTGGATGTGGTGTCAGTGGTGGTAGCGGGCCGGTGTCGCCGCCTAGCGCTAAGAGGCTTCACCACCGAAGAAGATGATGATGCAGCCGCCTGGGATCCCCCAGGACCAGCTAGCACATGGTCCTGCTCCATCAGTGCTGGACCAGTGGCAGCTGATACCGGCTAAGCCGGGGGCTCCGAACTCGATGTAGCCGTCACCGCCCTACGACGTCTAATCAAGTCTGACATCTGCACAATTTCACTAATCCAATGTAGCACATACAATGTCAGTAAAAAATTGAACTAACTAATTAAAATCATAGTTTGACCTAGGGTTTGCGATTTCGGAGTATCCGGGACTCCGATCCACGATCCGTCGAATCCTAAACGATCCTATAAATACATGGTACCACATACGTGAGTTTCAGCTCGATCCAACGGTCTGAACATATCAAACCCTAAAATCGCACAATAGGTTCGAACCGTTCGAGACTCAAACGATAACCAAATTCCAATCCGAGCACACCTACGCGCTCGTGACAACGAAATGTTTGCACTGGGACAAAATGCCCTATGCCACAGTACCCCACGCGCCACCACACGCGTCGGCAGCGCGTGGGTGCCCTAAGCGTTAACAATCCCTGGGAACCCTACAAATTAGGGAGGCACTTTTGTTCTCGGACCTACCCCAAAAAACGGACGGATGTGGCCGGAATTTCAATTTCAAAACTGGCCGAAACCTAGGGTTTCAAATTCACTACCCTATGCACACAATCAATCAAATCCTACACAACCATCAGCTAGAGCATGAAAAATAGCCCAGAAAGCATACCTCAATTGTCGGATTTGGTGCCCGGAGGAGAGAGAACAACGGCGGCGAAGATTCGGCCTAAACGGAGGAAATCACGGCGGCAGGATGGACGGCGACGGCGGAGAAGCTCCTGCGTTCGACGGTGGTGGCGGCAAGGTCTGAATTGGGGCGAAGTAGGGGCTGAGGTCACGGCGGAGAGAAAGGGAGGTTTAGGGTTCCGTTTGAGAAATTGGGGAAGAAGGAGAAGATCGCGATTTTCAGAAAACTTATTCGACTTTGCGCGACGAATATATAATCCGTCGCGCAAAGTTCATTAAAATAACCTTTGCGCGACGCAAAAATAAACTTTTCGTCGCGCAATATTATAAAAACTTGACCTTTGCGCGACTTAAAAACTTGATTTCGTCGCGCAACGTTGTGAACAGATATACCTTGCGCGACGAAAGAACTAGTGTCGTCGCGCATACTTGTCCAGCCGCCCAAAATTTTGGGATTTGATTTGCGCGGGAAAAATACATGCAATGAGATTGCGCGACGAATGCGTATTCGTCGCGCATCTAGCTGTTGCCAAAAAATTTTGCACGACGACTGGACACGTGTTCGTCGCGCAATCTGGCTTTTGCCAAAAAAATTTCACTAAGTGTTGGAGCGGAGGAGGGAGCAAATTTTTTTCTTGATTTTGCGCGACGAATGGGCATATGTTCGTCGCGCAATCTGGCTTTTGCCAAAAAAAATTTCACTAAGTGTTGGAGCGGAGAGGGGAGCGAATTTTTTATTGATTTTGCGCGACGAATGTACATATGTTCGTCGCGCAATCTGGCTTTTGCCAAAAAAAATTCACCAAGTGTTGGAGCGGAGAGGGGAGCGAATTTTTTTAATGATTTTGCGCGACGAATGGGATTATGTTTGTCGCAGATGTTTTGCGCGACGCGTAAGTGTAGGTTCGTCGCGCAAAACCATACCCTAGTACCCCTAAACCCTAAAACCTGTACCCTAAGCCCTAAACCCGAACTCCTGAACTAGTTTCAATGATCCAACGGCAATCTTCTTTTTTCATAGTTCAAGATCGTATACGTCAAAAATCATAATGAATGAACATTCAGAGATTGAGTAACGGGACAAAACTTTTCGACGGTTCTAAACAAATTGTCCCGATTCAACGGTGATTTTAACTCCGATCTTGAAAATTTTTTACAGCTGCGGTTCTTGACCCTATATGAATACAGAGATGTAATTCGATCTTCAATTTCAGATATTTACAATACAGACATCACATAATCTTATGTTAGACTGAATGAATGTATAAAGAAATTATTCAGTTTTTATGAATATTGTGTTTTTATGGAATACGCATTCTAGGAAACTAGTTTCAGTAATCTAGCCGTCAAATATGTTTGTTTATACTTCGAGATCTATACGTCAAAAATGAGAAAAAAAAACATTCAGAGCTCAAGTAACGGGACAAAACGTTTCGACGGTTATAAACGAAAAGTCATGATTTAACGGTTATTTTGACTCTGATTTTGATGATTTTTTACAGCTATACTGTTTAACCCTATGTGAATACAGTGAACTACTTCGATCGTCAATTTCAACTATATACGTGTGTATATATCAGAAATATATATATTGTATATGTTTGCGCGACGAGGTCTGTTTTTCGTCGCGCGAAAGGCACTTGCGCGACGATATTATTTGTCGCGCAAATAATAGAGTATGCGCGACGTGTACGTTATCCGTCGCGCAAAATTTGCGCGACAATTATGCCTTCGTCGCGCAAGATTATTTGCATTCACATATTATTAATCTGAAGTATTCATCATTACATATAATTAATTGTATGAAAGTATGATTTATTCTATTTTCTTTTGATTTGAGAATGGAAGGATTGTTGATAATCTTATGTTCTTTGTATTCATTTTTTCGGTTATATGGTTTTCATTTTTTAAAAGTTTTTTGTGAAAATAAATTTAAACTTTATGATACAAATTAGTTGGCTATATTTATTTACCAATGGTTTATAACTACAATTATTTTAATAATGTTTCACTTGGTATCATATATATGTTTGGATATAACAAGTACATATATGAAAACATTTGCATTACACAAAATATGTCCACTAACATAATAAAATTACAAAAAAATTAATCATTCATCATCTGAACTATAATAACTTTCGTTATCGTTGCTATCATCACTTTCGGTCTCCCAATCCTCTTCCTCCTCCTCCTCCTCCGCCTCCTCTATAACTACATCATCGTCGTTGCTCGGGCCAACTGCAACATCATATCGCGGAAGATCACCGAGGTCAATTGTAATTGACTGAATCGGTATTTCGATTGAAGACACTCCTTGTATTTGAAATGGCTCTTGTATAACATTAGTATCTCGAAGTGTGTTCCGCATCATTTTCCATTGAAGATTCTAAACGTTGGTCAGCTACATTGTTGACGTCGTTGTCAGTTGGGTCTAGTTCTGGTATAGCATACACGTTCCTGTGATCCATCTTTGAACAACGTTCCAACCGCTTCCGGCTTTAGGGTCATCTAGATACACAATTTGTGTTGCCATGTTTGCCAAAATATAAGGGTCGTCATCATACCAAGTTCTGTTCATGTTCACAGATAGTAAGCCATGATCGATTTAAACACTTCCCGGCCTATTTGGGTTGGTGTCAAACCATCGACACTTAAACATGATCACTTGGTATCGATCTTTGTAAAGCAATTGCACGACAGTTGTGAGTTTGCCATAGAAAAAAAAAAAAAAAAAAAAAAAAAAAAAAAAAAAAAAAAAAAAAAAAAAAAAAAAAAAAAAAAAAAAAAAAAAAAAAAAAAAAAAAAAAAAAAAAAAAAAAAAAAAAAAAAAAAAAAAAAAAAAAAAAAAAAAAAAAAAAAAAAAAAAAAAAAAAAAAAAAAAAAAAAAAAAAAAAAAAAAAAAAAAAAAAAAAAAAAAAAAAAAAAAAAAAAAAAAAAAAAAAAAAAAAAAAAAAAAAAAAAAAAAAAAAAAAAAAAAAAAAAAAAAAAAAAAAAAAAAAAAAAAAAAAAAAAAAAAAAAAAAAAAAAAAAAAAAAAAAAAAAAAAAAAAAAAAAAAAAAAAAAAAAAAAAAAAAAAAAAAAAAAAAAAAAAAAAAAAAAAAAAAAAAAAAAGAACATTTTGGGCTTGGCATCCGATAAACATTCTTACTCTGATGATCCCCGATGGAAGTTCGTCAACTTAGAGGCCAATCTTGGTCTCCCCTGCTTGTCAGTTAGGAGTCGTATTAAGAAATAAAGAGATGGCATTTGGTGATGCTGGCTTTATTTTGACGCTTATAGTAAGCTTTTTTGCACTGTACAAAGAATTATGCACTCATAGGAGTTTTTGTCAATAGTTCTTCTTATTTTATGTTTTGTTCCTGTGGCAGTTTCGTTTTGGTGTTCTTTTGGTTATGAAATTTTGCATGCTCAACAATTCTCGCGCTATACAAATGGACTATGTTTACATAGGAAGCCTTCTTTGACAGAACCTGAGAGGTGGTGGTGTGCTCTTTTGATGGGTTCCTTTTAGTTTTCAATTTGTTTCTTTTTATTTTGTTCCTATGGGACTGTTCGTTTTGGGTGTGTCATTGTTTCTAAACCCATTGCATGCTGAACAATCTTGTGCTGTACAAAGGACTATGTTAGATATGAGGCCTTCTTGACAGAATCTGAGAGGCCTTGGTGTCCTCTTTCGATGGGTTGCTATTAGCTTATGTTTGGTGGCTGTTAGATTTGTTTTAGAAGTGTCTATTTTGTAATTCTGGTTTTGTTGGACTCTTTTGTTAGTCTGTGCATGTGTGGCACCCTTTCCTTGCTCTAGCTAGTTTTCTGAGAAGGGTTTTAATGAGACCACTATAAGCATGCCAGTTTCTTTATACTATTCCTAGAATGAATTTCTCTTCTCAGACTTGGCTATTAAGTACATATATATAAGTATATGAAAGGGTTTTTTTGGTGTCGTAATCTATATGAAAGGGTTTTGTTATGCATTCTTGTTCACAAAGTGATATTTTTATTAAAAAATTCTCCAACTCATGAAAGGAGCCTCCATTGCTCTTGGGAGTCTTGTCCAAGTTGAGGTCCAATGGTGAGTTGACACATGAGATTAGGGCTGGCGTTTTAGACCGAAAATCGAAAAACCGCAAATACCGACCGAGGTTTTACTGCATTTAAACGACCTATCATGAAAACTGACCACAATATGCGATTGTAGTTACGGTTCTACATTTTCAAATAATGCGGTATATCAGAAACCGCAATTAATTTAATTAATTATTAAAATAAATATTTATAATTATTTTATATTAACTAAGAGAGGCCTAGGACTTCATCATTTAGATGATGATTTCTCTCTCTTATCTCTCTTCACTTCTTCTTTTTTCTTTTTATTCTCTCTCTCTCTCTCTCTCTCTCTCTCTCTCCTCTCTCTCTCTCTCTCTCTCTCTCTTGGACTCATTGAGGCTTTGAATGTATTACTAATGAAGTGTATTTCTCCGGCAATCTCTTGAAGTTCCCTCTATTGTTTTTAAAAATAAATAAATAAATAAAATTCTCAACCTTGAAGAAATATCATTTGAATATTTAGTGAATTAATATAACTTAATTAGTAAATAATTAAACTTTTATCTAGTAGGAACCTAGGTTTCAATTAGTATTGCAAACTCATCGCTTGTGTTGAAATTTTTCTTAGGTTGTTATTAGTGGGTTAGCCAATAATCTCTAACTTGCAATCAACTATTTGGTTTTTAATAATAAAGTCATTATCTATATATGAGTTAAAGAATCATTGTCAATGATAAAAAGTTCTGCTTATTTTAGCAGTATTTTAAGCATGAGCAGTTTTTTTTATTGATAGAAAGTTCTGTAATGTTATGTTGTTCCCTATACTGATCGCAATATACCGACAATTGCGGTATACCACAATAAGTAGGGTCAATTCATGGTTCGTCTTTTACCATACCGTAATATGTCGGATGGTCGGTTTACAATTTCATTGAAAAAATTGCGATAATCGACTTCAACCAACCCTAAGTGGTCAGTACCCTATAACAACTCGGCCAGAGGAGAGAGAAACGCAGGGTAAGTCCCACATGTCAACATATTTGAAAACATTATATATGATAAATTGAGAGTGGAGGACAAGTGAAAGAAACAATTTCTTTTTGTTAGAAAAGATATGTAGTCAAGGACACAAATTTCTTCCCCTACACATGACGTTCTCATCACTACAACACACAGTACAAGGTGCAGAGTCACCTAACTGTAAAATGCAAGAAATCTTTTTGTTTTGTCTTTTTCCTTTTTATATTCCCCAACCAAAAACAATGATGCAAGGATCCCCAAAATGGACCTACTAGTCAATAATAATTAAATTGGGATTTATATTCACTTTACCAAAAACATAAAAAGATTGTGATTATTCACCAAAGGAGATAATTTTTGGTTTCCCTTATTCCCGATCAAACAAGTTACTAGAAAGTTGACAAAACGGGACCCAATGTACCAAACTTTATCGAGTCCAGAGGCATGTGCATTTGTACTATTCAGTAATTAAAATGGTTGGTACATATTTTACAAGATGTGCATTTGCAATATTCGGTTATTGCAATATAAAAAGTGCTACCAGACTCCATATGTAGTCCATATTCAGTCCTCCAAACTTACTACCTCGTTGGTAAATGCGGAGGCTCAGAATCCTACAATCCTATTAAGTTATAAAGACGGATTTGTTAAAATACTTTTGTTAGATGGAACATACTCATTCATAAAGTTGTTAAAATCATTTGTTAGACCAGAGGATAATAGACAATAATTTTGTTATTGTTATATGATTAAAAAGTCATCCACATTGTCAACGGGTCGTGAAAAAGGTATTGAGTTCCCACGGTATCATTGTGTGTGTGAAAAATCATCCTCTCGTAATGTTTATTTAGTTATATCGCCCTGTAGTAAAATAAAAAATAAAAAAAAAAAAAAAAAAAAAAAAAAAAAAAAAAAAAATTTGATTGTTTGTTTGAAAAAAAAAAAAAAAAAAAAAAAAAAAAAGAGATTATGGGTGGACACGTGTGCACCCTATCCTTTCTAAACATTATGTACAAAAAGCAAATGGAACGGATCTGATCATCTGAGTAAGGGTGGATGGAAAAGTGGAAATAACATATGCAATATGTATTGTTTAATAGATAAAACGATTAGAGGGGATGGGAAAATGGATGGGTGATGAAACCCCCCATGCTACAATTTTTAATATTTCTTTTGGTTATTTGGTGCCTACTAAACAACGAGAGGATGCCATTAAAAAGGAGAAAAAAAACCTCGTATGGGTCCTCCATCCTCCTTTATTTCAAAATCTCAATCCTAAATTTCTAACTCTTTTCATCATGGTTCATTTCTTTTAGGGTTATTGATGAACTAGTTTTTGGTATGTTGCAATATTGAAAACTGTCTCGCGTTTGAATCCTCTCTCATATATTATAAAAATTAAAATAATAATAGATAAGAGTTAGACAAAATCGGATCAAAAGGGGCAATTGCCTCCACTAAACAAATTGAGCCTCCGTTGATCTTCTCAATTTCTTAGCTAAGACATGGAAAAATAACTGAGGGCAAAAGCTAAGGAAAAGGGTAAAATGCTAAGTTGGTGTGCAAAGTGTTTATAAAAACTAGTAAACAACTAGCAGTTATGCAGCGTAGGCCTTTCTTCTTTTACAAAAATATTTTGAGAGCTTATTCATCTTATTTCGAGACAAGAAAATTCCTCGATACCCCACTGATTAGAGTAGCCATCAAAAGGTTGAAAATGATTGCATTAAGATTTAAACACGACTTGGTAATCATGGAACATCTGAAGCCAAAGTGAAAAACCAACTCTGTAAAACCAAAGTGAAGACCCAATAGCGTTGAAACAGAAAAATAAAGTAAAAAGAAATTCATGGTGATAATATAATACACAAATGGCATTTCTGTACTTACATTCATGTCGTATATAGACAGTAAACATCTCTTCGGGTTCGCTTGATCTTTTTAGGCAACCAGAAGAATATTGAATACCTGACATTGACAAGAAAACTGAAGAGGGAAGGGTACAGACCTTTTATTTTATGAATAGTTCTATAATTTGAAAAAAAAACAAAAAAAAACCAAACTTTTGGTTCCTATAGTATTTATTGCACAGACCGTATATCAGTTGTCACAAAATAGAGTTAGTTCTTTACTTTATATTCACATGTGTAATGGTTCATGATTGGTGGTTCGAACGTGGGTCGAATTTTAAATACCATTGTTTGGTATACTGAGACTGAACTTATTAAATTGAAACAACAGTCTCATATATTGTCTAAGTCTCATCTAAAGGGGCGAGACTCACAAATATTAACTTGAACAGTCCAAGCGAACTCACTGTTTACTGTTCCAAATTTAGATATGAATTATTACAATGTAGGAAGAGATCTCAAATTCAAGTCTCTCCATTTCTATTAGCGAAAAAAAGTTATTAATAATAGCATTCGATTTATAATTGGAGTAACTTCCATAAATCATATTGTCACACATGGTATGTTAGATACCCGCAATAATTTCTAGTAAAAATGAATAAAGCTTATGTCTGCAATATTTTTTATTTTTTATTTAAGAACAGAGAATATCAAAAGAAGAAACTGAATCTCTCCCATTCTTTATGCATATGGGGAACCAATTAAGCTGAAAAAAGCAAAGAAAGGAGACTCCGAGTGATCCAAAACAGTACCTACTATGCCCATTACTACACAGCCTGTAAGAGCTCTTCGAAACGAAGCCGACAATTGGAGATAATTCCAAGCACCCCATGTGAGTGAGACTCATCCCTTTTAGTCTCCTTACATCTTTCTCAGTTTCACTGCCTTCTCTCTCTGCTTTGTTCTGCTGCTATCTCGTACAGTCTGTGTGTCTGCTCTTATTTGTAGCCACTTTCTGGAGAAAATTCCAGCTTAAGTTTTCTGGGTTCTCTTCAAAATCATGTGGGATTCAGAGACTGAGTCAGTTGGAGGGAGAGATTACGGCAATGGAGTTCTTAGTTCAAGCAAGCGCAGTGTTAAGACTGATGGGTTTGAGCAAAAAGGCAGCTCTTGGTATGTATGAAATTAGATACACTACAATTGAAGCTGCTAATTTGGACTTTGAAGTGTCTTGGTGTAGTTAGTTGAGTCTAAATAAAATGAGATTTTACTTCTTCATCATGCTTGTGGTGTGTTGGTTAAAGGGTAGCTGATTTTTTAGCATGCAAACTAATTAAAATATTTGGTGGGTTTGGATGAAATATAGGTTTGTTGCAACTGATATCCCAAGTGACCTGCTAGTTCAAGTTGGAGATGTGAATTTTCACTTGCACAAGGTACCATTTCTAATTCTCTCTGAAATCTTTATAGTTTCATATCCTTGAGCTTACTAGTCTAATAATTTCTTTTGTTCTGTTATAAGTTATAACCAGTCTAATAATTTGTTCGGTGAGAACTTATAAGAATGGAAATTTATGTTTCTGTCATTCTGTTTTGGAAGTATCCCCTGCTGTCAAGGAGTGGAAAGATCAACAGAGTTATGTATGAATTACGCGATCCGGACTTGAGTAAGATGGCTTTGGATGACCTTCCTGGTGGACCGGAGGCGTTCGAGCTAGCTGCGAAATTCTGCTACGGAATTGCTGTTGATCTAACAGCAGCTAACATTTCAGGCCTGAGATGTGCTGCTGAGTACCTTGAAATGACAGAGGACTTGGAAGAAGGCAATCTTATCTTCAAAACGGAGGCGTTTCTCAGCTATGTGGTTTTATCCTCATGGAGAGACTCCATAGTTGTGTTGAAAAGCTGTGAGAAGCTCTCACCATGGGCGGAAAATCTTCAAATTGTCCGAAGATGCAGCGAGTCTATTGCTTGGAAAGCTTGTGCCAATCCAAAAGGAATAAGATGGGCATACACTGGAAAGCCACTAAAAGTTTCAAGTCCAAGCTGGAATGACATGAAGGACTCAAGTCCAAGCAAAAACCAGCAGGTCCCTCCTGATTGGTGGTTTGAAGATGTTTCGATTCTTAGGATTGATCACTTTGTCAGGGTTATTACTGCAATTAAGGTAAAGGGGATGAGATTGAACTGATTGGAGCTGCAATAATGCATTATGCATCCAATGGCTTCCGGGTTTAATAAATGATGGCGCAGCTGCAGCAGATGAAGGAAGCAACAGCAGCAATAGTAATACAGTAATAGTGGCAGCAGTTGGAAGGGTGGACTCCATTTGATTGTGGCTGGAAATAAAGATGAGCCTCCAACTGTTCAGGCCAAAGATCAACGGATGATCATTGAGAGCCTCATCAGTATAATTCCACCACAGAAGGATAGTGTCTCATGCAGCTTCCTCCTTCGGCTTTTGAGAATGGCAAACATGTTGAAAGTAGCACCTGCTTTGGTTACTGAGCTGGAAAAACGCGTGGGAATGCAGTTCGAACAGGCTACATTGGCAGATCTTCTTATTCCTTCTTACAATAAAAGTGAAACTATGTATGATGTGGATCTTGTTCAAAGGCTTCTGGAGCATTTTCTGGTTCAGAACAAACAGATATTTCAAGTCCAAGCCAACAATCTTTCCCTGGAAAACACTATGATGACATTCAAAGGGGTACAGGCCCCAATGCTAAGATGAGGGTAGCTAGGCTTGTCGATAGTTATCTCACCGAGGTATCCAGAGATAGAAGCCTCACCCTAACAAAGTTTCAGGTGCTGGCAGAAGCTTTGCCTGATTCTGCAAGGATCTGTGATGATGGACTTTATAGGGCAATTGATTCCTATCTTAAGGTATTTGGTTCTTCCAAATTTACTCTGTCATAGAACTGTGTTTTCTATCTTTTGGTCTATTCTGTTACAGAAATTACCTTTTCTTATGCATGAACGTTTTGAATACCAATTGAAGGTGGAAAACAAAGAGAAATTAATCACTCACAAGAAGTTTGCATACAATGGAGGTCCTATGCAGTAAACTGCATGGAAAAGTTTTAATTATGGATATTGCTTTTCTCCAGCTTCCATGCTTGATTGATTTTAAAGCAGAAAACTTTGAAAAAATGTGAATCTGAATGCACTGCAGAGGTATTCATACTTAATTTGTGACCCTTTTTGACATGGTTATGTGCTTTTTTTAGCTTTTGTGCAAATCTGCCCAGCAGAGGTCCAAAAATACAACAGAAGTTTCCCTGTCTCGATAAATTCGAACATGTTATAACATATAAGTGGAGGCTGTAAAGAAATCAGAAACCATAATAATCATAAATCAAATATTAGAACGATGGTAGAGAATTACATGTTTTTTTTTGGGGTCAAAGATGGTAGTCCTCCACTACTATACTCCCAAATAAGACTTAAAGGAAGTCCTAGTAGTATTACTGATTGCTTGTAATGCTACATTTCTGTTAGTGAACAAAATGTCGATATGGGATCTACAATGTGTGTAGAAAGCGCTGCAAGTCGGCTTTCGTGATATGAACTGAAAATACAGTTAGACAATGTCATTCGCCTCTGGTTTATATAAGTTTGATGAACCATTCTTGATTTTTTTCTTCTGTTTTTCCTATAAAGCTGACAGTATTTTGTTGATCAATGCTTCATATTAAGAGTTCCCATCTCCTTATCATCAACAGGCCCATCCTACACTTTCTGAGCATGAAAGGAAGAGGCTTTGCCGAGTGATGGATTGCCAAAAGTTATCAATTGATGCCTGCATGCATGCTGCCCAAAATGAAAGACTCCCATTAAGGGTGGTGGTGCAAGTTCTTTTCTCTGAACAAGTAAAAATAAGCATGCATTAGCCACCAGCTCCCTCAAAGAAGCTGGAGAATCTCAGTATCAGCCAATGGTTTCGAATCGAAAAACACTACTCGAAGGGACCCCGCAATCATTCCAAGAAGGATGGGCAGCAGCCAAAAAAGACATCAACACGGTAAAGTTCGAACTGGAGAGTGTCAAGCCAAGTACCTTGAGCTCCAGAATGACATGGACAACTTGCAGAGACATTTGATAAGATGTCAAAGCAGAAACAGACATCCGCATGGAGCAGTGGGTGGAAGAAACTAAGCAAACTCACAAAGACCACGAACTTAGAAAATCAGCACAACATTGGGACTGAGCACCAAGCAGCTGCAGATCAGCAGAATAGAAAGACACCTAGGAGGTGGAGAAATTCTATTTCCTGAAAACAAAAAGACAGATTGAAGGAAAGAGACATACATCTACATGTTTGAATTTGTGTTCCAAAGGTTTTCTTTTATTATTTGGGGGCTTCTTCCCTTTTTATTTCAACAGGAGTGGGAGACTTCTTTTCTGAACACCTGTATCACTAAAATCTGATTTTATTTATTTATTTATTATATTATGTGAGTGATTTCTCCATGTATGCTCTAGGGAATTTGTTTTCAAGGGGAAAGAAGCTAAATATGTGGCGTCGACTTATATTCCATTCAAAGTTTCTTGCTCGATTGATCAATCGTTTGATTAGAATGAGATCTCAAAAGCATCATCCACTTATATTCCATTCATGTCACTCGACAAAAAAAGACCAGAACTCTTTCTAACCACCAACTGGCCGAAGACAGAAAAACAATACCTAAAGCGAAAGATTAAAATAAAAATTCAATCTTATGGTGATTTTTAGTGAAAAAAATTTGCCCCTAGAAATAGAAAAATGGAAAAAAGAAATACAAGAGCATCAAATCGGCATGCCAATAAGGTAAATGTGATATCAGTAGTTTTTGGTTTTCCAAATCAAGCACTGCATACACTTGGGGCCTCCTAGTCATCATTCACAATATATGTCCATTCTGCATTAACTTTTTGAAGGGCTTTCTATCTGTTTCTAGAAATTTGATGCATGAAAGAATTGATCGGTAACCGAATTGGAGACCACAAGTGTGATTCTATGGGACCACTAAGCTCAAAGATGGTGTTCGTTAATATAATAATCACACCAGTTTGGAAAAGAATAAAACAATCATGATAAGGTTTCCGCTTAAAACAGTATATCTCATGTTACCCGAAACTCGCATTATTGACATAATATGTCGAGGTTGAATGTTTAAAAACAAATGTGTTCCAATGTCTTATGTGGACGACAACTTTCCAGGTCATCTGTTGATACTACGTCAAGCAACAGCACCAAGGATAGGGCTTGAAAAAAATTAAATGGGACTCTACACTTAAATTTTTTTTCCCATAAATGCCTATGTACTTTTAAAGCCCTTTAAGGGCCGTTCGGTTACGTTTTCACGGTCTTATTATCATTTTATGTTTTTAGTTGTTCCAAAAAATTCTTTTGGTACATTGTTTTCCAAAACCAAGGAATTCGTTTTCTGAAAACAAATTTAAACCTATGTACAAAAGGTGAAAACGGCAAATTGTCGTTTCATTATTTTCTAAAAACTTATTTTGTCCAAACTAAAACCATTCATCTGTCACCTACTTCCACTTCATCTCTCTATCTCCTCACAGCTGAGAACCTCACAACCATGAATTGCGTCCATCTCCTCTGATCCAAAAAAACAACTAACTCTGAGCAAAACAAGCACTCTTCTTCTTCTTCTTCAAGAAAGTAATCAAGACACCCAAGTTCAAGTTGTCATCGTCAATGGTGGTGGTGGCGGGGCGAAGAGAGGGGGAGAGGGGAAGTGAGGGGGGAGGAAGGACAATCACATGGGAGGGATGGGTTGCAAGAAAGTACGGGTCAGAAGATGAGTGGTGGGAAGAGATCTCTTGGGATTCTGATTATGGGTGGTATGAGAGGATTTTCTCTTGGGATGGGGAGGTGCAATAAGTGGAATTAAGATTGGGTGGTATTTTTCATATATTTTTACAAGTGTTTGTACCATAATTAACCGAGTACATTTGGTACTGGGGGGGACTAGTCCATAGACAAGCACACCGACTGCCGAAGGAAAAACACTATCATGTTAATCCCTAAAACTTTGATGACGTCATCATGATCCCAACCTGCCGAAGAGATACCTCCATCTGAAGCTGCAATTTGCCTACTAAAGGTGGATGCCGAAGCTCCCAGCTACATAACCTAAAGCCTTGGACACATGTCATCACCACGGTAATTTGCACAAAGTCCCACATCAAAACTTTGTGCAAAATCCCATTTTCTCTTCTCTATAAAAGATGAATAGTGCCCAAGTAAAAGGGGAACTACTTTTCACATTTACTGTTACTCTGTCAAAATTACTGTATATCACATACTTGCTAACTTAAGCATCGGAGAGCCATCGTCAGGTGTCACACCGGTACCCGAAGCTTGACGATTACTTCTTCCATCTTTCTTCTGCTGGATTGCTTTGTGGCTGAAGACCCTTCCTTGCCGAAGGTCCACAACCCTCTTCATCCTACTGAAGACTCCACATTTCTTCTATCTAAGTTAGCACCCGATTTTGGGCATCAATAGTTTGGCACCGTTTGTGGGAATTCAACTTTTACATCCCACATCTCTACTAGTCATGTTGGGCCTATCAAACTCCGTCGTCTTTTCAGTCCATCACACTCCAAAATTTAGAGCGAAGCTAGCCTTAGCACTCAGCATCACATCCCCATGCGAAGTCTTCCAGAAGGAAACCCTCGATCGACAAGCATCTTCAGGCTGAAGTGGAGTGACTTCGTGCCTATGTTGCCAAAATGACGGAGAACTACGACCACCTCGGTACCAAAAATGTCAACTTGGAGCATGACTGTCGAACCTTGAAGCATAACTAGGAGAATACTCACCACCAATTCGTCTAGAGCAACGTCAACCACAATATCGAGTGCACCCTGTCGATCCAGTTGGTTGTCTCTTTTCACATTGCTCCAACGCAGCTTACCTAACAAAGGCAAAGGCATCCTTCATTCTAAAGCAACCAAGTCACGACCTCTCGAAATTTCCCCTCCAAGGGACCGGCCTCATACCCTAAGCAAGATATACAAGGACTGCATGGATTGTATCTCGGAGCTTTGGCCAAAGACCATTCAGATTCTCATAGATCTCGATGCCCCACGAGTATGCTCAATTAGCAAGCCATTCTTGAAAGTGGAGGATGCGATCCAATCATTGCATCCCACAATGTTGGACTTTTTCGCTTTGAACCTCTTAATGTAGTCTCTGAGAGACTCATCGTGCTTCTTCTTCAAGTTGAAAAGATGATCCGCCTACTTCTTGATCATCCGGTATGAGGTGTACTCCTTTGTGAATATGAGAGCTAGTTCCCTGAAGCTGCTGATCGATCTTGGTGGCAAAGTATGGAACCAGTCTTAGGCTGCTCTTCGCAAGGTTGTAGAATACTGTGCACATCGACGCATCTTCAACCTTGAAGAGAATCGTAGCACTCCTGAAGTGCTTGAGATGGCTCTCAGGATCGAAATCCCTTTTGAATGGTGTGAAGGTAGGAGTCAAGAATCGCTTCGGTGGAGCTCACTTGGTTAACCTCCTTGCTCAGGGCATCTTCCAAATCTCCTCCGACCTTTAAGTCTCGAAGCCGATCATTCACGAGCTTCTTGACGTCCTACACTTGCAATGCTTGCGGTTCATGTCGAAGTCATCCATGACGTTGACGTCATTGGCTAACTTCTTTATGGCTATAGGGAGTTGCTCTGCTTTTCTACCCTACTGGTATGACGTATTAGTTGGTTAAGCTTGTGAAGGATTTTCTGGGATGCATAGCTGAGAGCTTGCTCTTTTAGTATGGGGTCGGTGGGCATCCTCCTTCACACTCTTCATAAAAAAGGCTGGGAGGTTGATCTCCCTATAGGCCTAGCCTCAAATGAACACTTCTTTATGGACCCGAGCGGGCAAAAACATCATAATGTGCCCCCAGCCTTGTGTGCACATTAGTTTGCGAACCTAATCTCAAATGGACACTCGTCTTGCTCTGGTTCGCGGATGCTCAGGATATGTCAGCATGCATCACGTTCATGTCTTCCTTCTTACCTGCTAGTTCCAGTTTGACTTGTTTGGGACCTCTCGTGCCGTATTCGGGTGTGCTCGTTCATCATTCTTTATTCACCATCGGATCTTAGTTCGAAGTCACCGGCCAAGTCAATATGCTTGAGAAGCCAACCAACCAAGTTGTTTTGGTCCTCAACTCGTCGACCCGACGATTGAGATCAACTTGCTTAGATCGATGGGAGAGAATTGTGTGGAGCCAAATTTGGCGCAACCTAAGGTTTTGTATGAGGTGTGCTCGGGAACCGCAAACGTCAAGCGTGGTGACAAAGGAGGGAACAAATGCAACTATTCTATGATGGAGCCATAGTTAGCAGCTGCAAGATTACCTTGAGTAGAGGTACCACCGTGTGTTGCGGCGTAGCTGCTCAATGAAAGTGCAAATTTGTTTGTACAAATAATCTCTGGGAGGGAAGGGGGAGTATTTAGAAAAGATCCCCTTCTTCACTTGATCCTTTTCTTCCTCTGGGGGATTTGCCCAAAGGTCCTATGATGCCTAAGTCAGTTAAATGGTCTATCTCTATAAAGGATAATATAAAAATAAAAAATAGTTAGCATTAATTAAAAGTTTAAAATATGCATAAAACAAAGCATCATTAAATTATAAGGAGCCACTAGGAGTCCTTTCTCTCTCCTCAGATTTAAGAGCTCCTAGATGTCTCCATATTTTAGGAGTTGGATAGGGAGCATGGTTGGAGTTGTATTTTTCCTATTCCTCTCTAAAATTTGTCTAAGGAGGTGGTTTAGGGAGTCCATTGTGGATGCTCTTAGAGCGTAAAGATTTTAGATTATTTATCTTGGTAAAGGGTGTTAGAGCTTAAAGATTCTATTTTGATCAAAGTTTAACCACTTTCTATTGCTCAATCCATCAGTTCTAAAAGGTATTATATCATGCATCATAGTAGGGCCAACCTTAAGATTTAGAGGGATTTGTGTGAAACTTAAATTGGGGCCCTGACATGATCTAACACGGAAATATCAACAAAAATTTACCATGACTTAATTCCATAAATCCAATCTTTTTTAACTAAAACTATCACCAATTAACATGTAAAAGTAATAAATAAAAGGTTTTTTTTTAAAGAAATAAATTCTAGACTAGTGACATGATCTTGTGTAGTTGGTCATGAGTCCAATGCTCATTGAGGTCATTTGATGGAGAAATTTTTGTTATTTCAAAAGCAGTAAACAAGAAACCATTGAGCACATAGGTGGGAGTTGAACTCGGGCCTACATTAAATTCAAAGTGCAGCAAACCAACTTCACTAAGGCCACAATTATGTAAATATGTTGCCCGTTTTCGTGTATATATAATATACATGTAAAAAGAATTCGAGGGCCCTCCAAAATCAGGGCCCTGCGCAGTGGCACTATGCCAGGGCCACCCCTGCATCATAAAACATTCCTTTATTTTATTTCCAAAAAAAAATTATTGGTCTTTAAATTATGTACAGTGAAAATCCTTGCAATAGATAAACTTCAACAGTATAATCAAATACACCAACAAGACATCTAAAGTACCAATCCTAATAGGACAACAAACTAACATGCTAGAAACAAAACTAAAGCGAACAAAAGTCGTACTAAAACTACTAGCTTGTACCACCATACTTAAGCATAATTCCAAACAAAACCCACAAACCCGACATAGTCGAAACCCTAAAGCAACCTAGGAACCACCACCTCTCAAGAAGCGGCGTAGCGGCCACACACACTACCTCATAAAATCATGAAGTGAGAACATAATACATAATAGATATGGGAAAAACATGGTTTCCAACAATCTACTTGCACATAAGAGCGAACAAATAGACTAAAACAACATTCCTGACAAAGAAAAATTAGGTGATTTGCAACATACACAGTCAAATATGATGTATAACCAAATTTAGAGAACATGAGCAATGTTAGAGAGCTCGTTGTAGAATAATCGTTTATTAGTTTACTTCATGACTCTATACAAAGTTCAATTGATTGGATGTACCTATCACGTCCTAAAATGGACATAAACAACCCCACGCCTATTAAAAACGCAAAGTCCCAGTCTCAAAACCTAACATAATAAGCCTCATCTTTCATTAGAACTTGTTAACCCAAAAAAGACTTATAGCCTACTAGACAACAGGCAATAATCTAGTGAACAAAAGAGTCATTTGGTGTGTGTGGTTGCAGCCATGCAAATAGGGTAGCCAATGGCCAAACGTACAACTAATTTTGATGATGCATTGAATCTGGACTTCTTCAAATGATCCTTGCCAAAGAAGGGAGCAAACATAGCCTAATTCCTAGAGCAAGAGTTCAAAAAGCTCAAAGAAGATAGAAAGGAATTTTGCTTCGAAGGATCTACAAACCTGGAGTTGGCCAACATAGAAGAACCATAATTGTATAGTATGCTTAATATTGTTTATGTTTTGTAATTTTGCTTCACATAAAAAAGAAATTAGAAAAGAAGGATCCTTTCTCACACTAAAAAGATCATATGAAACTGAAACCAACTTGAGTTCGTACGATTTGTTGGCTTTTCGTGAACATTGTGATGCCCTAAGTTTCAAGCAAGCTATACTTCGGCTGCTATGAGTTGCTTGTTGGTCAAGAAAGAACATATTGGGTCCTAAATTGGGCTCAATTGTTGGTCTTTTCTCAAGTGCTTTGGGCATGCTACTACTAGTGTTTTCTCTCATAGTAGAAAGAGGTGAAGTATGGCGAAGTGTTGTAGTGAATGTATTGTGCTATTTTAATCTTAACTTTTAACCAGAGCCATTGTGCTCCAAGTGGGGAATCTGGCTTGGATAGGTTCTTTTCTATGCCTCAACTAAGAGGACTTCAATATTTTACTTGTGATGGAATAAAACTCAAAAGAAATAATAACTTTAAACTGCTATCGGACAAAAAGTATAATATAGGCTTAAAGACAAAAAGTGTCTGATGGATATTGTGCAATTACAAGAGAGTAAACACAAGTTCAAATAGACTTAAATAAACTAAAATGAAAGCAGTACAAGGCCTAACAGGGCTGGTACAAACTCTATATATCGGACAGAAACAACTCTTCTTGGACACAACTTCAATCCGCTTGAGACAGTGCAATGTGTCCGATGAGAAGCTGTCAATAGTATATGCAGTACAAAGAGGTTGCTGCATATATGAATTTGATTTTAAAGAAGTTGGAATTGGTAACCAACTTATAAAATCATACCGAGCACAAATGTTGGCAAATCATTAAGATTACAAACAATACCAATGTGACTTCGATAAGAAGTTTCTAATTGGGAATTAAACTTAGTATTTGTTTGGGAGAAGAATAGAATTCCAATCAGGAGTTGTCAACTAGGAACTCAAAGAGTAGAAGAGGATTTGGATTCAAGTTTTGGCTCTGGTATGTTGTGAGACACCTTGACAAGGTGTTTGAATATTGTTCAAATTGGTTGTTTGTTCTTGAGATTGGTTGTCCTTGTAATCTTGGTTTCTGCTTCTATTTATAAGCTCCTTGATTTATGAAATTACATGATCGATGGAAGTGTACTAGACTACTGTCAACTCCTTTTCGGATGAATTTGGCGAACTTCAATTTGCTTTTGGCATACATAATTAGTTGTTCAACTGCTCCAAGCATGGGTTAGCTTCAACAAGTTAGTGCTAACGAGTCTCACGGATCAAATCGCATTTAATGTGGTTGCTTAATTTCTCATTCGCCACCAAACTCTTCCTCAACTATCGAAATCAGTTTCAAACTCAGCTTTGGGTGTGAAGCCCATTTGAATAGTCTTAACTATTGTGCGTGCCTATACCTTGTGCGTGCTAGAAGCAGGGTTCTTCACGGATTCTGAGGGGGAATCCGAGGCAAGTCTTGTCAACTTGATATCAAAGCATTATGTTCAATTTCCTATGGACTCTGCACCTCGTGTGCATCCTTAGTATTGTCAAGTTTAGTGTGTTCAGTTCTGAAATGATGCCTCTTCTACGTGGATTTCAGGTGCATTACGTAAGTTCATCTCCTTTGACACATGGCGAACTTTAATTTCTGGGTTGTTAAAGTTGTTTGAGTTAACTGTGAATTTTGGCTAACTCAAATTAAGGAGTAATGGTTTTTGGGGTAAAACGTTTTTGTTTATCGTGCTAATGAGACCCTAAGGTAACTCTTGTGGTCTCGAAATAGTTTTACCAAAGGTTTACTGGGGTTTGTTAGTGTGAGCCTGGATTTAATCTTGTAGGAAAGTTTGCAGTAAACTTTCAAGAAAAATATTCGGTTGTTTCGAAGTAAACTTGTGCAGGAAGTTGTTATGAGTGTAAGCACAGGAGGGTAGTGGAGATTGGTAACCAGTTGATGACAAGTACATCACTGTTAGCAAGGGAACCATTTGGGCGACATCTATAGTGTATTGGAACAAAGTTCCATATGACTGAGTACGGGTTAGTAGAGTGCACATGTTTAGTTGGAAGAAAGTAAGACTATTGAGCTTCTCAATTGAGTCTTGAGAGTTTGGTGGTGAAAGTATCACTAGTGGAAGCTGAGGAATGAGGATGCTCCTGAGATTGTTCTTGTTCAAGTTAGTAATAACGTGGTGGTAGCAGGTGTAGTTGGTATCGTGATTCACTTAAGAACTTGAGAGGATCATGATAGAGAAATAGTTTGTATAGGGGTCAATTCCAGTTAGTTGTCTGGGTGGCATTAGACTAATGCACAAATGTTTTGGTTCATTACACTAGGGTGTGTGAATCCAATGGTTGTGTTTGAAGACTGAGAAAGTTACTACATGTTGAGGACTAGTATGACTATTTCCTTAGTGTTGACTATTTCCTCAGGTGGAACTGGTTGTGTGTTAGCATGGGGAATCTTGAGGCTTATGTTTTGAGATGGTCGATAACCTAGGCTTAGGGAAATTCAACTGATGATTGGAGTTGGTGGCAGTTTTCTTTGCTAAAGAGTTGAAACCGAAGCGGTTAAGAGTTTGGGGTGTTACACTTGTGTAGTATCTAGGGAAAAAATAATGTGGTCATGGATATCTCAAGTCCGAGAGCTTAGTGAGTCTTGGAATGATGATGGTGCAAGAAAAGGAAGGTGTCGAAGGTTGCATCCAGTTTGTGTTGCCTTTACCTTGCTCATGCTGAAGTAGGGTTCTTCACGGATTCCAAGGGGAAATCCGTAGCAAGTCTTGTTAGGTCTTCCCTAGTGTGAAGGATAAAAAGGGGTATGGGGACCGGTTCAGGGAATATTTTGGGTATGGTGTTCAGGGAATGACGGGGTTGGTTTTCTAATCCCTGACCGTAACCCTCCCCATTTAGAATATATACATATATGTAATTTATTTT